TTGTTTCATCTTCAAAATATGTTTGAATTAATTGATCAAAATCTTGACGATTAAAATCGTAAGTGACAAAATTAACATAAATCTGAGAAGTGGTTGAAAAAGATGAAAAAGACATTTTTAAGATTAAAAAGAGAACTTAGATGAAAAAGACATTTTAAAATTAAAGAGAGAACTTAGAACGTTATTTATAATATTCTTCAAGAAAAAATATACACTTTTTTTACATTTTTCAACAAATTTCTTCGTTTTTTTTCTTTCAAAATTCATAAAATTTTTTCGTGATTTTAATTATTAATTTTCTAAATTCGGATTTTACGAATATAGAAGTTCATTGAGACAATGAGCTTCTTATTTTACAAATATAGAAGTTCATTAAGACAATGAACTTCTTAATTCGTATTTTATGAATATGGAAATCAAAGACTCATTGTCATTCCAAATTCGTAAAATACGAATTTAGAATAGATTAACAATTCATATATAATTGCGTGAAATGTACTAGAAATTTATACCAATATAAAAAATAAAAAAATAAACAATTCGTATATCTCACAACATTTAATTTTTAATTTAAAGTTTGTCTTTTTAATTAAAATTTTATTTTTTTTATAACTAAATTTTATTTAATAATTTTTATTTATTATAGATTCTATTCAATATCATCTACCGAAGAACAAACCAAAAAAAATAAAGAAAAAGAACAGCTTAAAAAAGATAATCAAGAGAATAAACTCGGTATCGATTTTGAAATAATTTTAAAAATTAAATTCAACAAATATGTTTACATTCCTATCAATCAAAAATTTAGTTATAATACTGGTTTTTTAAGCATCGTTGTAACTTTAATAATATTCATTTTTATAATTTATTACTATTTAAAAAATAAATAAAAATTTCGCACAAAATGCATTTTTTGGTTTAACACAATTTCAGAAACAATTTCATGTAAAATTTCAGGTCAAACAGATAAATATTCACGAAATGATAGTTAATAACATAAAGTCAATTGACTTATTAAAATTTCGCGTAAACCGCATTTTTTGGTCTAACAGCAATTTTCGAAAAAAACTAATACAATTGTTAAAACTCCAAGAGACTTAAAATGCTAAACTCCGGCTGTTCTCCTTAATTAAATTTGGAGAACAGAGCGATGATTGGCTAGATTGTTCAGAATTTGCCTGTTCTCGAGAATTGTTCTCTGCTGATCCTTGACCACTCGCATGAGTGGTCACTATATCAATAAATACTTTTATTGACAGCTACTAATTAAATATACAATAAATTCTATACCACACTTAATAACCATAGAAGTGATGGTCCCACCGGAGTTTTAAAACTGTTCTGTTCTCCAAATTCTTAGAATAAGTTTTTAGTATTATAGAAGTAATTATTTTTAGAATATAGTTGTTCTCTGTTCATAGACTTAAGATAAAAGTGGGAAAATACAAATAAACGTCAATTTTATTAAAGGAGTTCCTCTATATATTTGATCCTAAATACAAATTGGTTAATGGAAACAGATAGGGCTTTACATATGAATAAAAGCTATACTGTTTAATTGTATACAAAGAGCATTCGAGGCTTTGTTATATAATAAGCTTATTGTGAATTTCATGTACAGGATAATTCTCAAATTCCGAATTAGAATTGATCGAATTTGTGCCAGCTAGTGATGAGACCCAAATTTGATAGTTTTGGCACATTCCGTATGCCGAATTGGCAAAACTAGTTTGGAATTTAGGATTTCAGCAGGTTTTGGCAAAACTTGAATATGTACCAATTTTTAATTGCCATAATAGCATTAATTGTCATAAATATGTCGTTAATAGTTTGGGCCCTATCACTAGTGCTGGCTTTAATACTGGACAACACATCCTATAACAAAGTTATTAGTTTTACTGTTAGTGAATACGAAATGGTAATTTGAGTGATTTCAGGCAAAATTGTTCTGATATAGCCGATCATGATTCTTATGTAATTCAACCAGAATTGAAATCTTTTTTCTTGATTAATAAGCAATTTGATCATATGCTACAAATATGATGCAGAAAACAAGTACAAATCTTGTATACCAATAACACATCGAGATATCGATATTATAAGTAAATACGTGTTAAATAAGATAATACATATGCATATGATCGTGCAATATTTATCATTAGTGTTATTATACCAATTTGGTAAAATCAGGAAATAAAGTATTAATATGATTGTTATTTTAGTATTTAGATCTTTTTTACAGTTATAAAATTAGGCTATAAATTTCTGGTTCTTAAAATTTTAAATTATAATTTTAAATTTTTGAAATTTTTAAGATTTGTAAATTAAAATTCAAGCGGGCGGGTTAGTTTATAAATTTTATGTTATGAGAAATAAAAAATTAATTTTATATGGCCTAATTTGATTTGTATCGAGAATTTTTTTTTTTTAATCAATAAAATTAGGGAGTGCCTATTTCCACCATGGTAGTTTGCTATTTCCACCATTGTTACACAAAAATTACTATTTTTAGCATTTATATATATTTATATAGTAAATTATTGGTTTTTTAAAAATTAAAGAACTTTTTAATAAATAAACCTTTCTTCCAACTTTAAGTAAGATTGTAGAGGAGACTTTTCTGGTTCTAATGGTGGTTAGATCATCAAAATCGGCTTGGTGGATCCCAAGATATTTGGGGTTAAAGGCG